CTATCTTTTTCTCTGACTTAAAATGACACAACTTTACATCATTTAAAATTATACACATTTTTTCCTATATATATATATATAGGGAAAAGTGTTTGTCATTTTAAATGACAGAAAGTTATGTCATTTTAAGAGAGATACAGACACAGAAAATTTGATTTTTAAATTAAAAAAATCACTCACTTTCTCTCTCCCATGATTTTCGCTTTTCTGTGTCTATCTCTCTCCTAAAATGACATAACTTATGTCATTTAAAATGACAAACACCAAACCCATATATATATATATATGGTGTATTACCACAAGATGATAATACTTGAGTGTAATATGAAACTGCACAAGGTTAGATTTTCTAGATAGGCTAAATCTTCTGCTACGCCTTCGACGATTGTTTCTTTTTTGTTCGAAGGGGTTTTTCAAAAAAAATTGTAAGAATTTTTTTCTCATAGTAGGTTGAGGTGAACATTACGTCGTAGTAGATTTTCGTAGAGGCTATTCATAAATATAATATGTTAAGGAGTAAGAGGTATCAGATAAGGAAAATTCGTATAAAAGAAAGAAATCCAAGAGCATATTAGGAAGAAAATCAAGGAAAAGACCAAGAAACATGTGTCAGAAAAAAAATCTTATTTTCATTAACATGATATATATATATATATATATATATATATATATATATATATATATATATATATATATATATATATATATATATATATATATATATATATATATATATATATATATATATATATATATATATATATATATATATATATATATATATATATATATTGTTATAAAATATTAAATGAATGACTTTAATTCGAATTTGAATTCTATTTATTCTTCGAATTCTATTTATTCTCCATTTATGATTATTCAATGCCGGATTAATTCTTATTCATTGTTGTCATATATATATATATATATATATATATATATATATATATATATATATATATATATATATATGGTAAAAGTGTGTGTGTGAGAAAAATATTTCTTAAGCGGTTTGAGATATATTTATCTCTGTCCACCCAAAGAATACATTGTTTTGTTTATTTATTTCCTTATATTAATTGATGGGATATGTTATTCAGCTGCCTACGACCTACCTTTGCCTACCCCTTTTAATACAGTTAAATTACAATCTCACCAAACGATGGAGACTTACGATATAAAATAAAATATTTTACCTCTTTCTCTCTCCTACTGCCTATCATTATTTCTCTCTCCTCCCCTTTTTCTTTCTTCAATGGCGCTTCAGCATCAAAAAAAGGTGCAAGCTTTTTTCTCAATTCATCCAACCCAGCCATTGTTATGAGTATTTACATAAAAAATTGAAATGGGGTGTCAAAAAGAAATAAACCCAGATGCCCTATGTTAAGGAACCAGATAGGCCTGTTGTTGTTGGACGTAACATAAAGATAACAGAGATCTTTTCCCCACTTCAAGGTGAAAAACAAGATAAGAAGAAGGAGAAAAGTTGATTTGTTTCAAATTTAAACAGCAAAATAGAAATGTTACGGTAATCGTGGATTAATTCAAATGAAGGGTTATTCATGGTTTTCATTTTTTTGTAATTTTGTGGTTTCTGCCGTATTCAATTATATCGATTCAAGAAATTTGAAAATTATACTCATCTAACATAACTATCATGCCATTAACCATTGCATGAATTTAGATTCAAATATAAATTTAGGTTTTAAATGGCGCAAATTGATAGAGAGAAAGGGAAGGAAAGAGAAAGAGTGTGAGAGATAGTGAGGAGAAAAAAAGGGGGAAAAAGTTTATTTTATTCTGTAAATTTCCACTGTTTGATGAGATTGTAATCTAACGGTTTTGTGAGAGGTGGGCAAAGGTAGGCAAAATAAGAGTAGGCAGAATAACATATCTCTTAGGGCACGTTTGGTGCATAGTATAAGATAAGGCCTGATAGTATAAGACTTGATAATATAAGACCTAATAGTATAAGACCTGATTAAATTTTAATACTATCCAGCGTTTGGTATGGTATTGTATACAATAATATCCTTCAATATTTTAAAAATTAATATATTAAAAAAAGGGTTTGGTGTTTGTCAATTTAAATGACATAAGTTATGTCATTTTAGGAGAGAGATAGACACAAAAAATAGAAATCATAAGAGAGATAGACATAACTTTATGTCATTTAAAATGACAAACACTTTTCTATTAAAAAAAATTATTTTAATATATTAATATTGAAATTATATATTAGTTCTTGAGAATTGTAATTGTAAGCAATATTAATACATCAATCCCTTATCAAGCCTAATCCACCCCCTTAGGCCGGATTAAGTTATACATCATTTCGATGTATTAAGGGGTTATGTTGTATAAGCTTATATTATACTATGGTCACACCAAACAACTAAAAATGTCATAACGTATAGTATAAGCTTATACTATCACGCCTTATACATCACACCAAACAGGCCCTTAATTGATTCACATTTGAATGGTTATGATTTCCTTTTTCTCTCTCTTCTTTAATCACCATTGATCCATCTTTGTATAGTTATGATTTAATATTCAGAGATAAAGATATCTTAAGCAACTTGAGAAATATTTTGAGATATACGATAAGTCCATGAACAAAATTAGAAAACTATAAAAAGAAGGATCTAGACATAGGAAACAAGAATATTTACAAATTATTGACACAATATTTACAAAAACATAAAAAAAATTTCCATATTAATTTGTGCATAATACACGTAAGATGTCAATTCTTTCCGTAATACTTCTCGTGTATAAATTTAAATATCTCCTAAAACATGTGCAACCCATTACGTGGTTCACAACACTACTATCCGAAAATCTTATTAGGATAATTGGCAGCTTCTATGTTTTCTGCACAAATATTTCGATAGTATCAATTAAACTAGGGTCAGCTCCACTAATATCCCATTAAAAAAAAGACTTTTGAAGTTCATTATAATTATTATAGGGGATGTTATTTTTATCACTTTTTTCTTATTACTTCTTACCACCATTCTTGTTATTTTAGATTAAAATCAAATCAACAGTTATAAAATAATATCAAGTGAAAGGCATTTATTTGATTTTGATTCAACCATAATAAAGTGGTAGAGGTGGTTAAATTTTTTTTTTTTTTATAAATATAACAAACCCCTTATTATATACACTAAAGGAAATATAAGAGATAAAATAACTACGTTTCCATTACACAACTAAGTTAAACTAACTCATGAAGTCAGCTGCAATGTGTCAAATGCTGTACATAGATTATAGAATATGCCTGTGGAGCTTTCCGTCCACTACCACAACGTATGATCACACCTTTGATGGCTTTGATCAGAAATCAAGCATATACTAGGCTATGTTTTCATGTGTCTACGCAAATTTATGAAAAGGAATGGCCAAGCCTCCAATGTCTCACCCTCCACCGGCAAAGGAAATTGGCAATACGTTCCAATTGCCATTTATAGCCATCACTAATAGTCCTTTGTATACTTTTTATTTGCATAATTGGATTACGATAGGTAAATTGGTCAGTGCATCACTTGAATGGGAACCGTAACCAAAGTGTCACGTTTGGACAAAAAAATTACCAGACTGCTACGCTGACAGTAAATTTTGCCAAAATGCCACGCGGTATAATTCGCTACACAGTGTAGCGAATTATGCATGCAAGTAATTCGCTACACAGTGTAGCGAAATATGTCACGTCAGAACGCACAGAACCAAAAATACCACATGTCAAATTTTGCAAAATTCGCTACATAGGGTAGCGAATTTTGCAAAATTTGACATGTGGCATTTTTGGTTCTGACGTGGCATATTTCGCTACACTGTGTAGCTAATTACTTGCATACATAATTCGCTATACTGTGTAGGGAATTATGCCGCGTGGCATTTGGGCAAAATTTACTGTTGGCGTGGCAGTCTGATAATTTTTTTATTCAAACGTGACAAAATGGTCACTCTCCCACTTGAATGTCCAAAAGAGTTGATGGAATTTTAGCTGACCTTCCCTTCCTCCAATTGACCACCTCCTTTTTTTTTTTTTTGAAAAAATAGTTATCTTATGTTACATAAAATAATTGTCTTGTGTTGCACATTCATGAAATTTTGTGTCCATTTTTTTTTAAATTGTGGGTCCTATAACTTTGTTTTACCTACATGAGATACCTATTTTATGTAATATAAAATTAATAACTCCCTTTTTTTATACAACTTTTGTTTGCAATTTCACAATTCAACTAAGAATACACAATATGGGAAAAATATTTCTGCTTTCACTGCAAAAATATTTTTTTGCCAAATTTACATAAAAGTGAGTAAATTTCATTGTAAAGAGAAGGAGAATGTTCCACCGGAGCAAAAGAAAAGCAAGCCCTTAGTCTGAAAAACAAGCTTAAATTTCATACCTTTCAGCTTAGAATCAAAAGTACATCACTTCAAGCCTCTATAGCCAGAAAGTGCAGTCTGTGACCACAACTCAATGTAAATGATGAGGCCATCACATAGAAGAAAAGATTTAGAAAATATTAATTCCGGAGTTGATAGGTCAATTTTTAGTTGTTGAGGGATCACATGCTATATATAGGGCAATATAATATTATCCACCCTATCTGTGGACACCGATTATAGAGGAGGATCCATTAAATTTGATTCTTCGGTTGTTTATTCCTTCAGCAAGTTAGTGTGAACCAGTTGGGATGACTTAACTGTATTCGTGTGTGTAATTCTTACCCTGTTTTTTGTTTTCCATAGTGATGTTGTGATCAATGGAGTGAGGTTCTATCTGTTTATGTCTTCATGCTGCACCTATCTTGCATATCCAATTTAAGTATCTACTTTAAAAATTGACACTTAGATTCTGAAAGCATATCAAAATTCAAGAATAAAGCAATCCCATAAACAATCAATTAATTTTTTATTTTTACAAAAAATTCATTGACTTGAAACACTTGATCTAACTCATGAGAAATTTCGATGTAACAGTTGGATTGATGTCAAATAAAACACGTGGGGTAAGCATATTCCCAAATAGGAGACGATCTGTACAACATAAATTGATATGAAGTGTAGATTCACATAAAAAGAAGAACTGGATACAAACTCAAGGATCACATGCTGATACAAGCACTACACAAGGAACACGTTTCAGCACAATTGCTTGAGAATGAATACTTGAAGGCTGATTGAACATTTTACCCCCCTTTAATTTTATTTTTACAACTTTGCCCTATTCCCAAACTATACACTAGTATGCCATTCTTTTCAAATTATATACCAATCTGTCTCAAACAAATGGATAGATTGATCAAACAGTGTCGGTCAAATATTGATCAAACAAAGGCAGATTGATATATAGTTTGAGATGCGAGATAGATTGGTATGTAGTTTGAAAAGGGGGACAAAGTGATAAATTGATTTTCAAAGTGGGGCAAAATAGTCAATCAGCAATACTTGAATCATGAAAATTTGTTCCACGTATTGAGGAAATGGAAAACAAAAGGAAATCATATAGGTGTCTCCTCTTTAATTAGAAAGATATGATTAAAAACATTGAGTGCATAGATTTTACAGCATCAGTAGATATGGCTAAGCTTGAAAGCTATCATCACTGTCCAAAACACAATGCTGGAAGGAACGTGTGTATTTTGATCTATATCCGAGAACTCACCCGAAAGTCCATTTAAGAAATCATCTCAAAACCCAGTAAGATGAACTGGATTTGGATCCATGTATATGTAGACATGAGAAGCCACTTGTCTTGGTTATTGGACTGTTGGTCCCACCTCAGAACAAAGATCAAGCATGTTGAGTTGTTATATTTTGGTCAAATTAAGGGTTGGGAAGCCACAATAATGCCCCCTGATTAATCCAGTAGTGTTTGAGACAGTTATCAAAGATGATCTCTACATTATTGTGCAGATACAAGAATCTGAATCCTCATCATCTGAGTCACTGACATCACTGCAGACACAATTGGGAGACCAAATGAGAGATAATTCTTATATTATTACAATAAATACAGTTAATACACACACATAGGGTTGATTGTCATACTCAATTACGTTTTGCCAGTGCACAAAGTCTTAACAAGTGATTCTTTTATAATTTCAGCTTTAATTTAATGTTCTTTTATCTTTTTCACTTTGCCTTAAATTCTAAGAAGCAAACAAAAGTGTTAATATATTTTTTTGGAACAATATGGCATAAGAAACTTGTTAGTGAAGAAGAGAGGGTAGCACTTAAGGGAGAATAAAATGTCCCATTCTTAAGAGGAAGAATAGCCAGTAAATGAGGGTAACATAGAAAATGAAACACCTGAATTGCCCTCCAATCCTATTGGGTATCTGTCAAAGTGAACCCTGCAAAAGTAGCATTTGCAGATTACCACAAAGATACCCCCATAAATAGACTATTCTACCGTAAGGCCTAAGCAAATTTAGCAGTGAAAAGTATAAGGGCTTTAAGTTTTACTAAGACTTGACATAAAATCTCAGACATGACATGGTACACAGGCCAACAAGTAAAAGGATAGCCCATGGTTCTAAAGTGATCCAAACGCAAGGTAAACCCATCAATTAAGTTATCAATTAAGTTGAAATTGGTTTTAATGTGTGTTTGTGTGCGTGTATACAGAGAGAGAGAGAGAGAGAGATGAGAGAGAGAGAGAGAGAGAGAGAGAGCAAGTTAAAACTAGATAACCGGAAAAGAGGAGAAAACAAAAAGGTCACAAATTCCAACTTTATATCTTGGAAATTTTCAGCAGTGACAGAAAGGTCCAGAAGTCAAATGAAAAAACAATGGAACAAGAAGAGAAAAAAAGACCAAAGATATCTAAATTAAGACAAATGTGCAGGTTCAAAGAAAAAAACAAAGGATCTATTAATTATCACTGTACAAATATTTTGTTAACATAAACATTGTACAAAATGATGCACCCCAACCCTATGAGTTCCTCATTTCTACTTCAACTTGGCATTTCAGACAGAGACTTGAAAGCATAATTACCTTATGTTGATCCTGTTACTCTTAAAATAAAATTCAGGTAATTTCAAATAACAAGACTATCATCATAAACACATTCGTGTGATCTAACCAGAGCTAACTTCCTAGACCGAGAATATTAGTTCAGAAATGATGAACATGAGGATGATAGACATCAAATCAAAGTGTCAGAGACTTCAACAGGTTATTCCAGAAGATTTGCTTATTTTGTGCAAAAGATATCACCTTACATCACAAAACATTCCATATACAAAACAAGATTTACAGACATGTCATCACTACTTCACACAATATAAACTTAGCAATAATTAGCCACATAATCCAAATTAAGAAAAACAAAAATATGTCAACTTCTTCTTTCCTCTTACAGTAATATTAAACTGAACCAGTACACAATAAATGTTCCAGTTATAACCAAGTGGACATTTAAATTATAAAATTTAGAACTAGTAACAAAATTGGAAAAAGTTATTATAAAGAAAAACAAATCAAGGCAGAACAGAACAATTATGCGGCTAAAAATCACCAAGATTTAGCAATTAAAAAAGTTACCTTGGCTCATATTCCAACACCTCAGCAAGCTTGTTTCCATTCTTATCATTCCATTGTACTTTCCGGCATGCCTTATCAGAGTTCCGGGACATGCCACCTCTCTGGGGAGGCAACAAAGAATTAGAGTCACTATCATCTTCGCCATTAGCGTGATCTTCAACCTTTTCACCATCCAAAGAAGAAGCCACCACAAGTTTATCCATGATGCTGCCATTAGCATCCTTGGTATCCATATCCATCATACACCACACACAAACAAAAATAAAATTCAACCCAAAATTTAAAGCAATCTTAGGATTTGGAAGAAACCCATTTGACCCAAGTGACTCAAAATCATATTCCAACTCCAAAATCTCCAAAAAGATCAAAACTTTGAATTGGAGGAATTCAACCAAGAAAGAGGTCAACGCGTTCTCCACGAAAGAGCTATCAAATCACGCGGAAAACAGTACAAATAAACAATAGGAAGAGAAAATTAAAATAAGAAGAATCTCTGAGATGAGATTCTCACTGTCAATGACAGAAAATTTTCTAGAGAAAATGAGGGAAAATCGTCTCGTTACAAAGTAACAACTAACAACCCTTCACAATTTTTTATTTATTTATAAAGGGTTTGGCTTTGTTATTTTAAATAACATACGTTATCTCATTTTAAGGGAGAGATAGACACAAAAAAAATAAAAATTACGGGAGAGAGAAAGTGAGTGGTTTTTTTAATTTAAAATTTAAATTTTTTATGTCTGTATTTCTTTTAAAATGATATAACTTTCTGTCATTTTAAATGACAAATACTTTTCTCATTTTTAAAATGGAAAAAAAATCTCAACACGTAAGATTTAAAAAACAAATTGAGAAATATTAACAGCTTTTTACTTTTACAAAATGTATGCTTATTTTTATGTTATTAAACATAATTTTTACTTTCATCATTTTTTGTTAATTAATATTTTTTATATAAATTAATTATTTTTACACAGTTGTATATTTTTATAATATTTATGTGACAGTATCTATTGACAAATAAGAACTGATAAAATTGATTTTACTATGTGATTTAAGAAATTTTTATAATAATAATTATATTTATATTTGAAAATTTATTATATTTTACTACTTAAACGAAATTAATTTTTGAAAATAATTTTTAGAATTTCATTTTTAAATGTAAATAAAGAGTTTGGTGTTTGTTTTTTAAAAGACATATAATTGTATTGTTTTAAGTGAGAAAAAAAGATACATATTAAAAATGATGTGGAAAAAATTGTAATTTTTTAAAATAAAAAATATTAATTTTAACTAAAATAATCTTTTAAAATGACAAATATTTTTTTCATAAATTAATTTCTAACATTAATTATTTTTTAATTAATTCTATCTAAATCTAACCTATGGTTAATTTTTTTTGGATTAGATTTAATCATCTCTTGTGTCTTGTGGATTATATTTGTTTTTTTTATTATGTGTGAAATTATTTAAAAATATATATTTTTAAATATAAGAGATAACTCAATCCTTTATTTTTAATTATAATTGTTTAATTCTTCGATGTTAATTAACATCGACGAAATTCCCAACGGACGGCAGGAATGGAAGAAGACACAATTGAAAAACATAAACAATGTTTTATGTTAATGACACGTCATACACAACGTAGGTCCTTTCTTTGTGCATGACACCATCGGTAATGTCGTGTGTCGTCTTTTACTTTCTATTTTTTTTGGAAAGGATATGTAATTTACCATCATCATGTCAAGTGGAAGGATTTTAATCATTAATAATTAAATCAACGGTGATGATTGTGTAATTTTCTATTTTTATATTTTTTTTCTCTCCTCTCTTATCACTATTAACTCACTCATGTATAGTTATGATTGTCCATATGACATAATCATGCTAATCAGCACATAAAAGAATCCACTTCTCTATTTTTTTAAGTTCGGTGCTAATGTTGCACTGAGTTTTCGAATCTATTTTCACTCGGGATTAAAATAAATTTTATTTTAAAATAAATTACTCTCTTAATTGAGATTAAAATAAATTATTTATTAATAATATAATAAAATTAAGATACGAATCATATTGAAAATAGCACTGAAAATTTAGCGAACATGCATCACAAAGATTGTAAAATTATTCTACCGGGATAAATTGTATAGATATTGAGAAAAATATAAATATATTTTTTACAGGATAGTTGTTTTAGTTAAAATTATTATTATTTATTTAATATTTAAATTGAAAAAATCTCTTGTTTTCTCTCATCATAATTTCTTTTGTGTAACTGATTCTCTCACTATAGTAATTTTGACTAAAATGACATAATTAAATATCTTTATTTAAAAGGACAAATATCAATCTCTTATTATGTTTAGTGTCTCTAATATTATAAGAAATAAATTTTTCTTTTACACATATAAAATTATGTTGGCCCATGTGTGTTCATATGAGGATAATAGAGAGAGATAAATATGGGTCCCATATATTTTTATATATGCAGGAGATAAATTTATTTTCAATAATATAATTAAAAAATAATAAACCCCTAATTATTATGCTATTTGAGTTGGGATTAATCTTATATCTATGTGTATTTTTTTTCTGCTCAACTCAGTATTAATCATTTAATCTAATCTTATATCCTTTTTGGACGGTTAAAAAATAATAAGGTTGTATCTATCAAAAATAACAATAAGGTTATTATTAATTTATTATTATCTACGTAGTATAGGCTATCCAGCGAAGCAACAACAGAAAATTCATGAACAGAATATTCCAAATGCTCTTATAATAAAATTATAATATTGCAATCAATTTGAAGCACCTCAAAAGGAATTTTGGTGACGAATGTTTGTACAGGGATTCTGCATTCTAATCAAGCTCAATAATTCAATTTTTACATGCTTTGATTTTTATTTTATTTTTTTATACTAAACAGTGACGGAGCGAACAAAGTAAAAAGGCTCAAAAAATTTAGTCGGGGGAAATACTAAATTTTTGAAATGTGTCTAGTTACAGTTATTTAGTTACGTCTAATTAAAAATATGATTAATTTTTAAAATTTAGCCAAGACCAAAAGCACTAGTTGGAGCCAACATGGCTCCGTCACTGGACCTAAATTATCTCTTTGAGATTAATTGACTCACCAAATATTTTTATAATTTCAATTTTTTAAACTGACTATAAAATTAATTATGAATCGGGATTTAATCATAGTTAAAAATTTTATCCCTTCTCAAAAATATATTTGATAATCCAACTCGCATTCTCTCTCTACTCCACACAATCTGTGTTGCAAAAGCTAGATCATTGCCTCGTGGCATGAAAATCTTGAATAAACGAGAAGTGACTCCGCATCACTGGCGGACTTACGTGGGCACGAGTGCGGACATAAGATTTTGAATTTTAGTTTTTTTTTTTTTAGCTATGTAGATCTTTATTTGTCTCTTGGTTTAATATTTATATTAAGAGTAAATATCATTTTAAGTTCTTAACAAAAAATATAGTTATCACTTTAGTCCCTTATCAAAAATTAGTCTGGAGGAGGTTCTTAAGAAATTCAAAGTAGATCAATTTAGTTAAAATCGTGGTCCTTCATAAATTCAAAAAAGACCTGCATTAGTCCCTCAAAAAGACTAAAATGAGTCAACTTTAAATTTCATAGGGACCAAGTGACTATTTTTTTTTATAATGGACCAAAGTGAGAACCATATTTTTTGTTAGAGACAAAAAAGATATTTATTCTTATATTAGTTAGCAACGTAGCAACGTACAGAGATGATTAAAACAACGTAGCAAGGCAAATTGAGTAGAGAGAAAACTTATTCTTCCACCTGTGTCACGTACTCATTTCCATGATTTCTTCATCCTTTGTTATGGAAGTAACTAGATTAAGCGATTCAAGCATTAATTTAAACTTTTTTTACAAAAAAAATTTCATATAAAGCAATTTTTCTGAGTCCGCCGCTGCTTGCGCATGGACGCAGTTATGGGTTGATTCATTTTTGAAAGGAGGAGATATTTTTGGATATTGAAGTGTGAACCACATTCATTAGGAGGAATACATGAATTCATGAACAATCGTATAAATATATATTAGATTTCGTGTTATAGAATTATTTCAAGCAACCCAAAATAATTTTATTGTAGGATTTAAGAAAAAAAAATACAGAACATTTTAAGAAAAATTTAAATTGTTAAAAGAAATAAAATTCTCAAAATATCTCATATTTCTTTTTCAAAATTTTAAAATATGCCGTTTTAAATTGCGAAAGATAATTTTATTTATTATGACATGAACAGTAATTTCCTATATAAATTGAATTATATAAATTCAATGTTTTAAGATTTGAATATTCTACCTATAATCACAGTGCGAGTGTCTAAATTCCTTTTATTCAATGAATACTGTCAATTGAAAAAACTACACCACTCTTCCAGTTAATAATATTTTGTTTTCTTAATTGATTACGGGTTAAAATATCTTTTTCATCCCTAATATTTTAGTAAAATTTCAATTTAGTCTCAAATTTATAAAATTTTATTTGCATTTTTTTTTTTGGTAAATAAAATTTTATTTTATTTGCATTTTAACGTTATTGTTATCTTTTAGCTTAACCCCATTCAAAATATTAATTTGATGAAATTAAGCTAAATTATGACATTTAAACTAGAAAAAAATAACATTTAAGATATAAATAAAGGGTTCGTTTTTTCTGCAGTTAATGCAGATAAGTTATCTGCAGTAAGCTCAATACGATGTCGTTTTGGGTGGAAATCATGGTGTTTTTATAATTTTAATTTATTTCAGGATTATTATAATCTTTATAATTATAATTTTTTAATATTTGAATCCCAAAACGACGTCGTTTTGGGAGTAAATATAGATATTAACTGCAGAAATATTTTTCTGATAAATAAAATATATTTAGGGTCAAATCAAGACTCCAATAAAACCTTGGCAATTAAAAAAAATGGTTTTAACCTTGATTATATTTTTATAACGGAAATGCTTAAGGGAAGGGGGAAATATTTAATATAAATTTAAAGCATTGATATGTGTAAAGAATGCAAAATAAGAAGTATTAAAATATATAAAACTAAAATATTTTTCATAAAATAAATTCTAAAATAAAATTTGAACAGATGATAACAATACCTGTGTGTGGGGTTGCGTCTAACAGCAGCAAAAGAAAATGGTGTGGTGTCGCTGTCCTTTGTGACAAATGGTCATTTTCATCTACAAAAAGTAGGGTTCGAATTGTGCAATGAGAGTAGCCTTCTGGATTCTTTTGCATAGCCTAAAAGGCAATCCAGTGAACATGGACACAAGAACCTTGTTGTATTAAAAGAGAAGATTCTGAGCAATATTGTTCTGCCATTAATCTTTTTTACTTGTGTCATGTCTTTGTCCACTAGCTCATTTCATTATTCTTCACAAAATAGATAAAAACATCGTTAAAAAAAAAAAATTATTCATGGAGAAGATAGAAGACAAATTCTAATATACAAGGTTCCCGATTTGCTTAGAATAAAGATGAGGATTGATTGTACATAATTTTATTCTTATATTTTATAAAGAGATTGTTTCCAGACTCAACATATAACCTTTCAATTATAAGGAATAACCTTATTGTTGTTTCAAGATTCGTCTTGACATAAGAGGTAGAAGGCACTATTAATATAAGGGTTCTATTTTTCTCATGTTGTAGGAGATAAGTATCTCCTACTATAGATACATAATATGGTGGAGCCCACCATCCATTAAAAAAAGAAAAAAGAAAAAATGATGTCATAATTTTTTATGTGAGAGAAACATGAGATAGTTATCTCATGTAAAATGAGACAATTATTTCCCTTAATATAATATAATGTTGCTAATTAATTAATTTCTTCATAAGATAAGTATTTCAATATAGGGAGGAGTTAATCAGAAGGGAAAGTGACACAAAGAAAGGAAAATGAAAAAGAATATGTTGAGTGGAAGAGAGTGGCTATGTTGATTTGCTTCAAAGGTTACCAAATATGATTACAACACTGAACTTATATTTTACTCAAAGTTCATACATACATCCAAAAACGGTTGAAAGAGTCTCAAGTTCACTTTAACACACAACCATATATTCACACAATCTCAGAAGTGAAAAGAAGAGAGTTTTTATCAGAATGGCATGCATAGAGAGAGCATCTCCTGCTTTGAAGCAAATACTGCTCAAATTGTACTGGTAAGAAGAGTTTATATATGAAACTTAATTATGTTTAGGAAACACTGCCATAATTTGCTAGGCCTTATCTCTCATAGTCTCATATATATTGTTTTAAGATTTTCCTGATATACATGCACATGGTTTAGTAACTTAGTTGTTTATATATATCATTTTAGTAATGGAATTAATATATTAATGATTGTTTATGCTTTAAAAATTGAATTAATAAAAAAATTATATCTTAGGTGATCTATATATTGTTATAAATACCCTCCTGTATTCCCCCCCCCCCCCCCCCCTTTATTTTTTCCAATTCATTGTTTTTAAAATTTCAAAAAAAAAAAATTTATTTAAACACGTCTTTAAATAGTAAATATTACACGTATTATTCAAGTCTTTTTAAAATTTAAATAAATGTTACAAATACTGAAGAATTTTTAAATTATTAAAAATATGCATAATTAATAATAAATTCAGATAAATTTAAAAATATAGATTTAAAGAGAAATTTTTTAAGATTAAAATAATATATATATATATATATATATATAACTAATTTGAAATAATTTAAATTTAAATTTAGTATAAGAGAATTAAGAATGACATGTGTATTTTTTAAGAAAAAATAGATCAAGAGAATAAATTAATCCGAGAAAAGCTACTCTAATTTAATATACTTGATTTAAAGCTCACACACATATATTTAAAAATAATTATGCCCGGGGATGACTTGCTAAAAGAGATAATTAGTATCGGTATAACAAAAAAAAATAACGGTAAAAGAATTCATAATTTGATCGAAAGCTGGAAAAAGAGAAAGAAAACTTTAGAGAATGTATTAAAAAAAATAGAGAAAAAATATTGAGTGCTATCATTGTTACTTTTGAAAAATATAATAAATTATGTAATGACATAGTTGTGATAAAAGATAATAAAATGAGTATACCAAAAAATAATAATAATAATAATAAAATGAAATGAATATGAATCTTGCAAAAAGTTTTCTAGTCCTAGTTTTTTTTTTTTTAATTTTATCAAAGATAATGAACTTAATTTTTCAGACAAAAAAATGCATTAAAAAAAAACAACTCCCCCGTTAAACCCGACTAGCGAGTGTGGGGTGGAGGTAATCTTATACGCAACCTTATCCTTGCATAATTACAAAAAAACTGTTTCTTAAATTCGAACCATGAAGAAACAACTTTTATCACTGCTGGTTCAAAAAAATGCATTAAATCAAAATAATTTTTTTTTTCAAGTATAAATACATATTTATTTTTGTGCCACCTAATTGTGTCTTTTTGTCTGACAATGCACCTAACAAGCATCTAAATCCAATGTATGTATAACATACATAAAAAACCTCAGTCTGAATATCACGTATTACCAAAAACTTGAAAGCTGCATGATATCTTGTTTCTGACAGCACTTATGTTTGATATGATTTTAGCAGACAAAAAATTGCATTTTCTATGTAAGAAAAGCACAGTTGTGTGTGCTGAAAAACTTTATAGGTGGTAAGAAGTTGAAATATCATAACATGATTTGTTGTTGCTGCATTTGAAGTTTAATTAATCAATAAATTTACTTAAGTTACCCAACTAATTAAATAATTTATCTAAGTATAACACCCTCCCAATCAATTATGTCGTTGCATTTAAATTTGATAAGGTAAATTCTAAGTAGAACCCCCTAATTAGCATTTGCAAAAACATCATCACCATGCTCATTAATAAAATGGTATTTAAGTGCTTGTCCATCTCATGACAGTGCTGAGAAGCCCATAGAGATTGATCATCACTTATACGAATTTGGGTCAGTGGAGTACCATATTCAGGTAAAATTCTCAACTTGTGGTACATCAATCCTTTAAATGCAAAAAGAAAAAAAGAATTACAAAAATAATGCAATTTCAAAATATATTATCGAAATAATGCAATGAGTCCTGCATCTCCGGCGGGCTGATTCCATATGAAAGGAATTGGGAGAGTGACCATTTTGTCACGTTTGGGCAAAAAAATTACCAGAATGGCACGCGAACAGTAAAATTTTTCAAACTGCCACGCGGCATAATTCGCTACACAGTGTAGCGAAATATGCCACGTCAGAACCAAAAATGCCACATGTCAAATTTTGCAAAATTCGCTACCTACACTGTGTAGCGAATTACTTGCATACATAATTCGCTACACTGTATAGCGAATTATGCCGCGTGGCAGTTTGGAAAATTTTACTGTTCGCGTGCTATTCTGATAATTTTTTTGCCAAAGCGTGGCATTTTGGTCACTTTCCCAAAAGAATTCCGGACTTGCTGAATCGCGGCATGTGTCACGGTTTAATCATGATTAATATTTATTCAAAGTATTGCCAATGTTTAAAACATGACACGATCCAGTAAGTCATCCTTTATGTGGGTACTGCTTTCGGTCACAATATGACATGTATATTAATTTTGTCAAATTATTAATAAATAATTTATTTTAATATGAGGTAAGAAAGTGATTTGAGAAAAGTAAGACACATGCAATATTGTGAGTGAAAATAGCACTGAAAAATCAGTGTAACGGTAGCACTCAAGAAATTCTCCTTTATGTGGAACTCAATATATTTCTTTAATAATATGTTACAAAATCTCATTATTCTGATAATTTTATTGAAAACTGGATTAAAACCTTCAAAATACCCTCAACTTGCTCAAGCTTTGAACAATGTGACCACTCATTTTTTGTCACTTATTAGCAAAATCAACACCAAGAATTGAATAATGGAGGTGGCTAGACCTATCTCCTTTCTTTTAAACAAAATATTACTAGTAAACCAGTAACGCAGACAACTACCTTTAATAAAAATTCTAGAGACAACCTGGTACATGAGATAAACTTTATATTAGTATAGAAAATGTACATAGTTGAGGTGCTTCTCATTGCATTAATTTGTCTGAGGGGAAATCTTTAGCATTGTTGAGGATTTCAGTTTTTAATTTAAACAGACACTTTCATTAAGATTTGATTATTTCTGTGTTCAATTTACAGTCTAAAGCCTCTAATCCACTAGTAGCATACTTGTCAATATCAACCCCAACTCTTTGCCATGGAGTCCTACCAAATGAACTTTCTTCTTACACCATTGATATGGTGAAGGGACTTTGTCCAAACGTTGTGGAGATTGCAGAACCTGTCAAAGAAGGATATCAACTTACTCTGAAGCTTAACCTCAATCAGATTCCACGGAACAAAGGTTTGTTTCCCTTCAATTAACTTGCAGTATGATTTGATTGCTACCCTTTGTTCAACTCAACTATAATATAACAACTGGTGATCATAAACATTTCACTCATACAATCAGAGTAAGAGCAAAATGGCAATTATGCTACTACAGAGTAGGTATTATTTATATGCATTAGTGCTGCTTCTGAGCCTTGGGGTTTGACTCTGTAAACTTGCAAACTAATGCTTGGTTATCTATTTTTCTTTCCATTTGAGAATTAACTAGTGAATTGAAAGTTAATGTTACTTACACAAGTTTTCATGAATTGCGCACAACTGTTGATAATGCTACATAATACATTTGGGTTCCAGCAATCCCTCTTAAAAGTTATAATGAATCACCCTAACTTCCTTAGTAGTTTTCCTAGCCCTAAATAATCTCAACTCCTTTCATGATTTAGTAATTACATTGATTTTTCACTTGAACATAGTAGCCATATCAAAGGTCTAGCTTGGAGTAAGTGATAAGGTTGCTCATTTATAACCAGAAGGACAAGGTCGAGAGACCTTTATGCAGTATGCACCAGGGTGTGCTCTTATACAGAGAGGCCATATCAGTACAAAATCCTAGAAGAACTGAGCAAGTAAAGAGAACCAAAGTGTAATGTACATCCTACATGGAAAGCATAATTTGAACAAATTAGCACCTACAAGAATCCTGTCAATCAGAGAAGAGTTTAAAGAAGATCTGGAATTTTAGCATATGCTATGCAAACTAAATAAACAGCTTGAGATATTATGAATCTAAATACTCCATTATAATATACAATATCAAAGTGGAAAAGATTATAAAAGTTCAAAGAACGATCACATGACGAAAATGAACTCAACAAAGATACCATCAATATTCAGATACTGTTCGGCCTCATTCCACTGCTACTTTGAGGACAATGTGAGTAAGGGGCAGAAGGGGAATTTGGACTGTAAAGGGACGTAACAACCTTGCGTAAATGGCAAGGAGTGTGGTAAAAGGAGGGAACTGGTTAGGAGTAAGTATAAAAGGGGAGTGAAGGATCTGAGAGAGGTGAGAAGAAATTGTGTGAAGGTCTTGGGACCTTTGGGCAGGGAGGTTGGCAGAACCTCAAAGATCTGTAGGTGTTTCAAGCTTTATTTACAATTTTTCAGTGTAATTAAGAGAAAATTTCCCAATTTTAAGGAGCTATACTCCTATCGTCTCCTATCGTCAGATGCACGTAAATCAATGGTTAAGATTGAATGTAAAATTTCTTATATAATAAGTCTTACACTTAATACTCCTATCGTCAGATTCATTTGTACCAATGACCCATATAAAAAGATTAAAAATGTTAGATATAAGTGGAATTAACGGCCAAAATTGAAAGTGCAACTTATACCAGTGTATGAATAACAAGTCTTGCACCTTATCTTAACTATTTATCTACTTGCATCTAATGGCCCTACTATATTAGTCATGGGAGCTGTTAGATGCATGTAGCATCAACGACTAAAATTGATAGTGTAATTTACAATATATATATACACACACACACACATTCTACACAGCTGGCCAGTGTATGGACTCACATAATCTAACTTGAAATTTCAACCTGTCTGATGATGCAAAATTCTTGTTTCAGATTATGTCAAGGTCATTAGGGAGATTTGCACAGTTCAATCAATAATTCTGAGTTCACAGCTGAAAAATATATTGTGGAATGTAAATTCTGATGATGCAATTCAGGGGATGTACAAACCCATCAAACTAGTCTACCATCCAAGAGAACCTTTCTTTGTCATCAGGCAGGTAATTCCTAGGTAATCAAATCTTTAAATATGTCATGTCAAATGCCATAGAAGAAAACTAGGAACATGAAATATGACAAGACCTCCCAAATAAAATGAACAAGATTACATAATATGGAATAATATCATATAAACAATGTAAGGTATACATACATTCAAGTACAAGAACCTAAACGAAATGATGATATGATTGTTTTGTCAATCACTCTGCTATTGTTTACTAAGTGACACCCTTTTAAGTTTCAGGTATGCAAACAAGAAGTCGTTATGAAATCAGGCATATTATCTTCACCTTAGAACCACTTACCGATTCTCACAAAATAACAGTTTGAACAGTCAACAATAACCACTATTTCTTCCAAATGTAATTATATTCCACGAAAAGAAGAAAAATTCAACAACCAAGTAACCAAAGACAACTCCTTACCAACTCTATGGTCGGTAAAAGTTGTTCATATTCTAATGCTTTTCTATATTGATTAATGCATGCTTCCTGCAGCCACAAAGAATCATAGCAGTTTTCCCAATTAATTTCAGAGAAAAGTCAGATTTGATTATTGCAACAGCTTTCTTTCAGGTTTGTAGCTGAGAAAGCACAAGTAGGTAATTTATTTTCAACTCAAGGTGCTTTGAACTCATTTATTTACTATCTACAACAGGAGCTCGTGGATGTTGGAAGTTCAGATAAATGGGCCAAAGCACCACCTTGCACCTGGTCAGCCATTCCTCCACCAGAATTGAGAGGAGAAGCTTTTGAGGATTTGAGTACCAATGGAGGGTTTTTCTCTTTCGGTATATTATCATCCTCCAGCAATTATCCCAGGAACTACTTTTCTACAAGCCATAAACTGATTACACTAATACAGTTTTGAAACTCTAAATTCAAACAAAATGAGATAAAAAAAAATAAAAATTGTTGAAGTAAGATGGATTCCAAGGCATCTATGACTGACATCTTTTTGATATTTAATAGATATCTCTTCTCGCCATGTTGAAGGCAATAGACTAGACAAAACTGTCTGGAATCTATTAAATTTTAATGCCTATGTTAGAAACCATGTAAAGGTAACATCAATATTAGTATTGCTTCTTAAGGACTACTTCTAATTGTAAATCACTTGATTTCTGACATGTTGACTCTGATCTGTCCTACAGAGCACCAAAGGTTTTATTCAAAGAAGGATGAGAAAACGTTTGGAAAATTTGGTTGAGGTACAGAAGCACCTGAATTGTAACATTAAGTTCATTGTTTGAACAAAGATTTTTGTATAGGCAGCATTAATATTTGAGCTGTATAGTGAGCCCTAAAACGGACAAATTATATGCTCAAAGTACCAACCAAAGGCATTCCCCATGCCAGAAAGTATATTATTTGCCTAACAGACAGACATCCACCATAAATAGCTAAACCTAGTTAGACAAACATTGACCCTTTTGTCTTACATGCAGGTCCTGCACCATACAAACTCAGAAGAAAATGAAAAATCCAAAAAACATCAAGGTCAGCTTTCTACTAACACATTTCAATATTGACAATATCATTCACAAATTAAGACAGCTTATAGTATAAACTTGTTTCAGAAATATCCCTCATAGGCTTATACTAGTAAATTTTTGTCTATACTAGACACTACACCAGTGTTATAGTATACACTTTGTATTCGTAGATATGTATGAAAGCAATATAAAGTGAGAAAATGAGAAAGTTGTCTGACATCATGCCAATTGTTCATGTATAATTTCTTTTCAACATGCAGGATTTGAGTATACGAAGAAACTAGTAAGATCATCAAAATATAACATCCTGAAACAAAAATGGGGCACCTTTGGAAGAAAAATAAAGACGATCCATTTCCGACTTAAAATTCATGGATTTGCACGATTTCGTCAACGATGGTTTAGGTTCCCAAAATTTTCTTCTACAGGATATACAAAATTAGAGTAGATTTTTTACAATTATTAATTCTTATGTAATATATGGACTTCAACTAAGTGAGATGAGCCTAGGAGATAAATGATTCACTGCACTATTTTCTCATGTATACTATAAATTTATCTGACTTTCAACTACTTGATTGTAAACAAAAAGGAGGATATTCATTTTTCTAGACATCCACCAAATTTGTGATGTTATAAGTGTAATGTCTAGCTATCGTAATGAAGTTTTATTCTGAAATGTTCCACGAAAGATGAGGGAAATCCCCCCAAGAGGGATTCGATCTAGATGTTTGTTTGATTTGAGTATACGAAAAAATGTAAGACTGAAGAGTGAAATGCTACAACAGTTCTCTTACCTCACTTTATCTTACTGTCATTGAATCAATGAATTCTCACTATGAACACTTGTTACATCCATTGGTTAATATAATTATAATAGGAAGCAGGGAAACAATTCTAGTTGCTTAAAAACTCTCGGTTCCCCACCAAGTTCTACCTTTATTTGTATCTAAAATTGAGGCATGTAATAACCTACAGAAGGCAAAAACTTTTTCCATTTCTCATATCACCTGGGACAGAAGCAATACCGTTGACATTTTGATATGACTAAAAGGAGAAGAGTCAGTTATGGAAGAAGATTCTAGGCTGTCCAGCTGGCAAGGCAGTGGGGAATTGGAGGGAAATTCTGTTAGCTAATGAAAACATAAATTAGGAAAGGGTATCATTTGGAAGCATCTTGGTTAATTGGGACCTTTGGAGTTTTGGGAGAGAGCCAGAACCTCTCTGATGTCCTGAAAAGTAATCTGTAATTGGCAATTGTTCTTGTTCATTTGCTTTCTTGTAATTTCAATTCCTCTTCTGTAATTTTCTTTTAAACACAAGATTGTAATCTTCATTGGACCTGTGTTCAGGTTCCAATATATCAATACAAGTTTTCTGTTCAATTTTCCCTTCCCTGTTCGGATACCTATCACATTTCCACCTCGGATACCAATGAAGATTACAAGATTGTAATCTTCATTGGACCTGTGTTCAGGTTCCAATATATCAATACAAGTTTTCTGTTCAATTTTCCCTTCCCTGTTCGGATACCTATCACATTTGCACCTCAGAAAATTCCCCCCCCCCCCCCCTCCCCAGTCCACAAGCACAATACTCCACACATGTACTATTTATTGGCCCCTAAGATTGCTAATTGTCATGAACCAACTCTCCCAAAAACTTAAGCTGATAGGTAAAGGCACATTAATGGTTTTTTATATTACAACTCCGACACTCATCATGCTTTTATCATGCCACACACCATAATACTCATGTCTTATTATCAGCTCATGAAATTTTATTAAACATCATCCTCCCGTCAAAACTAGCAAGTGATGATGTGGCCATAATTCTTGCACTAAAGGACACAATTACACAAACCATATGACTGATACACTACATGGAAGAACACATAATAACCTTTACTTGAGTCACTATAAAAGCTCTGAACACTTAATTTTACTCCAGGTCCTCAAAGGCGCCAATTCTGGTGTTTCTTTTATTTATAAAATGGGAAAAGGACAAGCATGCAAGAAAAGATGGAATGCTAAGTCATTTGGAAAGAACAGTATATCACTACTTCGATTTCAGATTCAGCAGCAGAACTCCAATTTAAGATAAACAAATTTTGTTTAGACTAATTGTCAGTCAGGTGTTATAAGGTTAAAGAAGTGCTCATAAATGATTAAACATGTATATCAGTGCATGTTTAAAACAAACTGATAGATACCAAAGAACCAGAGTGAATAAAAAGAAAAACCAAGTGTATATTGATGGTAGTTTCTAGGAAATCCAGATTACAGTACGTAACGAAAGAAAGAAAATGTTACTGACACTTTGAGAAGCCAGTGGCTCTCCCAATACATCAGAGGTGTCCCAAATCCACTCACCAAATGCCTACCCCCTTCTGCCCCACTTTTCTCTATTTATATTTTTATCACCTAACAGAATTTCCACTCCCTTGTCAGCTGGACAACCTAGAATCTTCTTCTGTAACTGACTCTTCCCCTTTTAGTCATATCACAAACCTTCCTCCAGGTTATAAATTAATAAGCACAATTACCTTTCGAAGTATGGGCACTCAAACTGTTAATATGGTTCCCTATCACATATTTTTAGTTTTCTACATGAATTTAAAGTCAGTCACAAAAAGCAGGCGTTAAATGTTTAAATTCTCTCCAACATAACCAGCACATTTTTTCCGAGATATAAAACATAACCACTACAAAGAAATAAGACTTTACCGGCAGTCAAAACACTGAGGAAAAGTAAAAGCACGTGTGGAACTAAAATTATTTGTTGTGATCGATTTTACAGTTTACTAAACTACTCCAGAATACAATACTCATAGAAATAAGGAAATGAAGAGGAAACTTGTTTACCTTCACTTTGTTTTACAATTTTTAGTTATAACTGCCACTTTATCTGAATGACTTTCGTGTGGCATTTCATCTATATAGTACTGTACAGAAACATATCAGGGGAATTTCACAATAAAAACGAAGATTTTCTCAGTCCCCAAGCTGTACGCTTATTCTAGAGAATCTAATTATTCACAATAAATACCACAATAGAGAACTGCTGCACAGAACATAGAAGCCACATACACCTTCCACAAGTCTTAATGGGGTTGAGGTAGAGCTGCGTTAAACCTAACTAATAGGTTTGCCCAATGTCCTCTGAACAATAACTTCTGATGATAAAAAAATGTGAAGACTCCATAGACATGGGTAACTGACCCTTCCTAAGACAATTATAATCAAAGCAATTTTTTTCTAAAATAAGATATTTCGATTTTGTTTCTCACCATTCCATGCCCTTACCCCTCCCCTGGCACTAAAACCGAAATATTCAGACTGTAGAAGTCTACAAAGAACACAGAGCTATTGATCAATGAGCTCCTTTTCACATAAAAAAAAAAAAACATTTGTATTATCCTATAATTATCTAAAAGTTACAACTCAGACAGCACTTGTCATCAGGTTCAGTAACAATACAAAAATCCTTGCCATTCCAAGTGAAATATCCTCGATTTAAGAACAACTCAATATCTGACAACATCTTGATCATGGAAAGAAGCATGCATTATAAAGTCCTTTCATGCAATTCAGTTATGACCTAAGAGGCCTATGAGACCCAATATGGAGAAAGCCAAGTAATTGGCCACTCCTGGTTATAACCTAAGATTACAGCTCATCCCTGTACCCACTCAGAGCCTATAAATACCAAGCCTCTTCTCATTATGAAGGTTTGATCATTCTATCTGTTTCACCCCTCTTCCTAGTGTTATTCCTTATTCTTGGTACTGACATATGGGACTGAAGAGCTTCTATTACAATTCTTTCTTGCAAGCACCTACGAGTACCTGGACCTGAGACTGTGAAGAGGAGACCTGATTCGAAGGATCAAAGCCCCAACCACCTCAGATACAACAAAAAGCATAATGGTTCAATATAAAAGATGTAGCAAAAGATGCCTGTCATCAAGGTTATTCCAAATGCTATAATAACTTTCATTCATTGTAAATATGTATTCTTCAAAATATCTTGACATGAAACATTGCTACAAAGTTACTTCAACAATAAACTAAAGAAAGGTCAGTAAGCACTGCCTACCATGGATTCACATTGCACACTTTTCCTTCTTTGATTCTATCAAAATCATTTACATTTCACTCCATCTCCAGTTCAGGAAGAGCACCCATCTGCATACTCGTGGATTCAAGCTCAGCTAGCAATGGCCCCTTTGGCTCCCCACACCTCAAGTTCAGGTTACTTGCCAACAACCCAAACAATCCAACAGCCAAAACCAGCACCAAAATGGCATGCACAGTGAACAGGAAATTCATCAAAGTAACACCCCTCAAACTATTCTCATCAAGTTCACAGTGCACATCAACACTCTCCTTCAGAGGGGACAAAAGTGAAATCTTTTGACACCCTTTGAATCCAAAATCATCAGTATACAATGAAAACCCAGCTTGCAGCAACCAAGTGGCCTTAAAAACCAATCCAGAGGACAACAAAAACTCAGCAAAAAAAGCAGCAGGCTTAACTGACAAGTAAATGCAAGAAGCAGCACAAACAAGAGTCAATCCACCCAACAAACCATAGACAACACCAGCAAGACCTGAAATTCCTCTACCCATCACAGAATACTCCATTAAAAAAACAACCCCACCAAAACCAAAAACAAAACTTTCATTAACAAAGGATTTGCCCACATACTCATGAACTATGATCAATATGATCAAGACCCAGAAAGCCAAAACTGCAAATGATTGCTGGAAGAATGAGAATCTGTAAGTAGGGTGCCCAGAAAAGGATAAGAAGAATAAAAGCTCAGAGAATGAAGCAATGGGCAAGGCTATAAGAAGAACATAGAGATCAATGTTCTTCCACCGTGGGTCTGAGAAATACCATAGCTTGGATCTGAAATGAGATGGGTTTTGGAGGTAAAGGGAAGAAGAAGAGAGTAAACGACGAACACCAATGGGGAAGAGTAAGAGAAAACCTGAGAAATGGGTCGCCAACGATGCCATACGTTGAGAATGTTATGTTCTTTGATATGTCTCACTTTTTTGTTTTGATTTTGGCATTGGAGAAGAGAATTGGTCTTTTTTTTTTTTTTTTAATGAACTCTTTGTGTTGACTATTTTGTACTTAATTTGTTAATTCAGCCAAAACTAAGAATTGGTCACAAACCTGGGAGGAATAATGCAATAATTTTCCTTTTGAGAATTAGAATTTAGACTAATTGAATTGTGGGTGTAACTGTGTAAGTGAAACAAATTGAGTTTAATATTAAACAACTTTAAGTGATTTTTTTTTTGAAACTATTAGCTAATGATAATACTGTCACCCTACTCTAAAAAGTTTGAGATTATTAGATTATTAGATACACATAATTTATAACATTCGCCTTATATTATACTATTTAGGATAAGTTATTTTACCTATTATTTTTTTGTTTATTTTTGTCTATTATTTTCTAATACCGTTAGATCATAATCTCAAAAAGAGAGAAAAAGATAAATGTTAATTAAGATTCTGATCTAACGATATTGGAAAGTAACAAACAAAGATAGATAGAAAAAATAAAAAGTAGAATAACTTATCCCTAGTGTGAATGTATGAAGTTAGTTACGTGGTTTGTATTGTGTTTAAATTGAACCAATATATTTGATTTTTAAAATCTCCATGACATTAATCACACTTTTAATCATGGTTAATGATGACATAACTTGTTTTTCATAGTCTTAAGTGTTTAATTTGGGAGACATTAAGTAAGAATAAAAAATTTAGATATTAGATAAATGGTTTCATTTACTTGAGAGAAAAATATAAAAAATAAATAAATAAAAAAAGAATAATGTTATTTACACACGTTTTTGTTGTCGCCATGTGACTCAGAGATCACATGTTCCTTTAATATACACAATACAAAATAAGGTTGAGACCCAAAGTCCCAAAAAATGACTTGACTCTAAACATATACACCTACTAAGTAATTCCACATGGGATAGAGATAATTCTCTTTCTTATTCCATTAGGATTACACTTAATGATCATCATCATTGCCTTTATTTTTGTCCATCAAAATTTTTTCACCGGTCGATTGATTATTCGACTAATTCGATCAAATTAGACAAGATTATAAGAGCGGCAAAGTTTTTCATAATAAGTTTTTAATACAGTTGTTTTTATTCGAACTCGAGACCATTGATTAAGTTACAATAACCCTATATCAGTTGATCCACGTACTTTCGTTTAGTGATATTATTAGACCTTTGATGTACCAGCAAGAACAAACTGATATTCAGAGAGATTTTCCAAATCCAAGAAGACTTGGGATAGTAATTATAGAGAGTAAATTTGATCCATGTATACAGCCGTTGGAACCCAATTTCAAGACTAAGATCAAGTAGGGCTTGTGTTTCCTCAAGATACTCAAATATTTGCAATTAACTTTGAAGCAATTTCTTTCACTCTATAAGCAATTGCTTGCATGGCAAAGCTCTTCCAGGACATCAAAATTGCTTTTGGTCTCAAGTGAGAATTGCTATGCTATTGTGCATTCATATCTCAAAGAGAGGAAGGGAAGGCACTTATTGTACTGAATATGCCACTCCTTTGTCTAGTGTTGAAGGTTTAAAACAAATAAATCAATAGATGAACATTAATGTGAGCTAACTTTAGGTACTTGAGGTTCATGCATTTAGTACTTTTCTGTACAACCTCAAGGAGGATATTTCAGCTAATTAATATGGAAGACATTTTACACAATAGCACTAAAATGATGTTCTTAATTTGGTTAAGTAATTTATAAATTCAAGTATGAGTGATGAGTAATTAAGTTCTACCTTGATCAAGAATAGACTAAATAAGAACTATATAAGTGAAAGGACATATAAACTCAATATTTATAGTCTTGGATTAAGATGTGATATCAATTCACCTATTGTAATTTGAGTTTTCTACTTAATCCATTGAAAATGGTCTCCTTTCTTTGGGGTACTCCTATACATCAGAACAAATAAGTGGTATGTGGGTTTCACAGTTGAGGCTTTATATTTTCATATGTGTATGAATTGATTGTGATTCAACATCATAATTTTATTCTTCTATTGCAAACAAGTAGAACAAGTATTTTTTACAACAAATTTGTTCTAAACTAGTCTTACCGGCCTTGTCCCATGGATCGACCATTAGAGGATCATTTATGGGTTTACTTCTATGCTTTTCTAAAGTGAGATTTTTAGACCATCACCTCTCACTTAATGTATTAGCTTACCTCAGATATATCCTGGAGGTGCGCATGCCTCAGAGTCAGACATAATAGTGGGATCCATTGGACAAAACATTTATGGATTTATCACTCATGATTAAGGAACTTATTTATAAATATCACTCTTCAACCATTAAAGAAGAATCAGTCATTCACCATTTTATAAGTTGTTACATTGTCAAATTCTAGAGTCACGATATCCTTTCACCATCACCCTCTCAACTTTCTCTTGAGATACCCACAATAATTTCTATGTCAAGCTTTAGTCTATACCGCTGCATCTAAGAGCATTGTCACATTGAGATAGTTCACTCTATCAAGAAAAACAGACCTAAACTTCTCACAAAATAGTTCAAGATTTATTCAAACAAACACTCCATAGTCCTTAAAATTTAGAGCTGATATAGTTTTTTCTAGCATTCTAGATTATCAAATTATTGAATAAGAAAGAGTGATCCATGCCATATTATATCATCCGAAAGAAAGGGAATCCTGGGCTTTTGCCCAACATCAATTTATAACCATGTACAATAAGGCTTCCAAAATATATGCTTTCATTTTCATGTAATTCCTATCTGCCAAAGATTGATCTTCCGTGTGGTCGCAACAAACGCATGGTCCAATGAAGATTCTGAGAACATTATCTACAAGACTGCTGTATATGCCAATTTTTTATTTTTTATTTTTTAAAAAAAAGGGTAATAAAACTAAGGCTATGTCATCGAAACAGATTAAAAATTATGTATGATTCCCTCTTAATCATCTTGAGGCACAAAATAATGCTGCTTAGTGCTTATGCAATGATAAGACATGCTTTAACAAAACTCAAAATAGAGTGAAATATAAATAATCCACAAGTTTGAAAGGTATGGTAAGTGAGCGTTTACAAACGTTGGAACGTTACTGGGATTGGTGTAGTAACGAGGGATATAGGTAGATTGTATTAGGTTATGTGTTCAATTTTTACTTGTATAAAAAAAAAATTGTTGGAACCTTACAAATTTCACTTGAAGAAAAGTTCTAATAATATTGTTTTTTAAGCAAGGTTATATTTACAAATTTTTTATTTATAAATTACATTATATATTATGGGTAGTATATTCTCAAGTAATATATATTACCCATAATATATAGTGTAGTTTATAAAAATTATAAACAAAAAACTTATAAATATAACTTACCCTTTGTTCTTTATCCAAAAGAATTAACCGAACATCCGATGCTGGACTCTCAAAACACATAAAAACTAGTGGGCCGAACCATTTAATGACATAGATTAAGATTATGCGAGTAAGGCTACATTATTAATTCGAAAAAGCATGAGTTAATTTGGACCATCCCGTTTAATCTGTAAGTTATAAGAGTCAACTCCTTCATCTTGTTCTAGGGATGGATTTTTTCTCCTTCGACTTGCATATTTGGCTGCATGATAGTGTGCATAGTAAATGAAGACGTAAGTCCAATCCAAGTTACATTATTAATTCGAAAAAGCATGAGTTAATTTGGACCATCCCGTTTAATCTGTAAGTTATAAGGGTCAACTTCTTCATCTTGTTCTAGGGATGGATTTTTTCTCCTTCGACTTGCATATTTGGCTGCATGATAGTGTGCATAGTAAATGAAGACGAGTCCAATCCAAGTTAATTGATATATATATATATATATATATATATATATATATATATATATATTCAATTAACTTGGATTGGACTTACGTTTTCATATTATATATATATATATATATATATATATATATATATATTTTGTTACCACATGGTTTTTATGGAAGTGGCATAATGAGACGATACATAATCCTCAATTTGTAAGACCAAGTAATTCTAGTAGTGTTATCTTAGCATATATTAGCGATAATAATGCAGTTCCTTCCTCTTCGGTCACATGATGTCCACAAAATTACTTCATCTAATTACTTTCGATTTATATCGTATTAAAAGGGTCATCTCTTTTTTTTTTAAAGGAAAGGTTTAACTCATTAATCTATGAGTTATCCGCATACATGAAGATTTTTTATTATTTTTTTATGACTATGCATAATTGTTTGTAATTATGACTATGTACTTGAGATTGAATTCGAAAGTTTTTAAAATTTATTTATCTCTCAAATAGGATTTTTATTTATTTATGACTATGTTTAATTGTTTGTAATTACGACTTTTTTTTTTTTTACAATTTGTTTGAACATGATATATTTTGAACGTTGCATATTGCATTTAACCCGTGGCCTATTGAGGACCAGGTTAAGTAGAAAAAATTGACATTTAATATACGGGCTTTTATCATAAACAATTCGATTTAATGCATAAATAGATGCATTTTGGACGGTCAAGACCGAAGAGAAAACGCGTAAAATACTTGAAACCTTCCGACATGTGCGTATGACCTAAAAAAATCTTGTGGTTTTTGGTTTACAAAATTAACATTTAATATACTCATAAGAAATCACATCCCATAATATGATTTTTGGTTTACAAAATTGAAATTTAATATGCAAATCTTTATCATATGCTTAAATAGATGCATTTTGAACGGGGAAGAGAAAACGCGTAAAATATTTGAAACCTTTTGACCATGTGCATATAACATTATGACCTAGAAAATCATGAGGTTGAAAATGGTGACATGTTTGTTGCTGGCATGTTGCCACCTAATCAAGGTTGGTATGCAGTCCACGAACATGCATGTGGAAGGATGCTGAAATTTAAGAATAAATATGCAATTTTGCTGCTCCTGATAGGTTTTGGTCAAAATTTGAAGTTCTTAAATCGATATGCACCGTGAAAATTTTGTATACAAAATTTTAAATAACAAAATATTTCGACTTGTCATCTGTTATGTCCACACGTGTCCTTAATTTTTTGTAGTAAAAATAATATTCTGATTTATCTTAATTTTTTATTTTCAAAAAAAAAAATTGATTTTAAATTTATACATCGGTTAGAAATTAACATAGATATTTTCTAAATATTTGTTAATAATTTTCTATACTATGATGAGATGATTGTAATGTGAATTTTTAAAAAATAGACAAGACTTTAGTAGAAAATTTAAAAAGTTATAAGGGATTATTAGAGTGATTTACTCAATTTTGTTATAAATAATAATTTTTTTGGTGAATTTTTATAAATAATTTATTTAAGAGCCATTTGTTTGAATTGATTAAAAGGATGAAAACTGAAAAGCAAAGAAATGAAATGGAACGAAATTAATAGAAATAAATGAAATATGATAGAATTTATTCTAATTCATTTTTTCTAATATCTCTTATTTTTAATTTAGTAATAGGAGATGAAATTAATTTATTGATGTTCAATCTTCTTTCTTAAATAAATAAATATATTTTTATTCCATAATTTTATTATAATAGTTGGGTTAAAAGATGACCATCCAATAGTTATTGGTCTACTGACGTCCTAATTAAACTTCAAAATTTAATTTGTTTAATAAATTGTAGGCTCGAATCGTGAGAATCACAATTTTTAAAGAGGACAAAGAGATTCAAATTCAAAATCGAATTAGTGAGACTTTTCACATCCAAATTGGTATTTGAAAAAAAAAAAAAAAAAACCCTAGAAAATACACACAACCCATTAGAATTCGAGATTTTGATATTCTCCCAGTTCCATAAACTGTAATTAAAAATGTACAAAAAATAAAAATCTAAGCCACCAAAATGTGTGGCTGCTAATGCTTCCATGTTGTGAATCACACCACACAGTTCAATTGTGAACCACTGGCTCTCCAATTTACACCCAAATATCCCCTCTTTCACAAGCAAATATAAACCATTAGAACCATCTATCTCAAGTTCTAAGAAACTAAAACAAAGAACTTCTAGTTTTATGTTCACATATCAAGCCACGTATAGATAGATAGATAGATAGAGAGAGAGAGAGAGAGGAAAGCATAAACAAATGGCTACTTCAATTTCTGTTGGTTCATCCTTCTATGGAAGCTGGGGAACTTCCATGGTTGGTGAAGATTACACCATGTTGGCCAAGTCATCAGTGCCATCACAAGTTCGAATGGGAAGAGGAAAGCCAGTGAGATTGCAACCAATGATGAAGAATGTCAATGAAGGGAAAGGTGTGTTTGCACCTATTGTTGTGGTCACACGTAATATCATTGGCAAGAAGCGTTTCAATCAGCTTAGAGGCAAAGCCATTGCTTTACACTCCCAGGTGAAATTCAATTTTCTTGCCAAGACTTTTTTACTCTTACCCTTTTGCTTAATTTCAAGTCTTTTTCATTGCTCTAAGAATTTTATTTGAGGGGTTGGTGGAAATTTTGAGAATCCTGTTTCATATTGTATCATTCTCATAAACCAGGTTTATATGTGGGTTTATCTGTTTCAATCTTGGTTAGATTGAAGGATTTAAATTCTGTTGAACAGATGTTCAAGTATAATCTATGAAAGCGAGATTTGGATTTGAAATTTTAAAAATAAGTTAAATTTATGGGAGATGGACTACACTTCATAAACCTTAAAAAATGAGAAACCACTAATATGTTAAGGGGTTCTAAGACACACAACGGATTTGAAGTACCAAGAAAATAAATAAATAAATCATTCAAGATTGTAATTTGAAAAATGAAATTGAAAATTCTGCTCAAGCAACTGTTTGAAAATGTTGGTAGCAATTTGATGTGAATAAAATAGTATGTAAGCATGCTATATATTTTTTGTACTAAACTTTCATATTTGGAAATTTTAGGTAATTACAGAATTTTGCAAATCAATAGGAGCAGATGCAAAACAGAGACAAGGGCTGATCAGGTTGGCAAAGAAGAACGGAGAATGGCTTGGGTTTCTTGCATGATAGATTTCACAAAAATGTTCCACATTTTGTAATTACCATGTGAGAAAGTTTCAAGTTTAAACTTGATGGTTTTCAATTGACAGCACAATGTAAACTAGGAACTCATCTCAAGTTGTGATTTTTCATTAAGTAATTGCTGTCTTATTTTGTTCTTTAGATAAATGAAATATTATAAAACATAATGAGGTTGTCTATCAACAGGGTACCACAAATAGAGCAATGTTATTTATACAGGATACTCTTCAAAAAAAATTCATAGTCTTTTCTATGAACCACTTATAATAAATTGATCCCATTTTAAATTTCATCCTAAATTCTACTAAACCCTCACATCATTTCCCCAAAAAATGTGATGAGATGCAACTTGATATATTGTTAGCCAAAATTTATTATCATTTTAGGTATTTGTACCTTTGACTCTCTAAACAAGCAGCCTAAATCAGAATACCAAAACCCTTTAAGCTTAAAATCAAACTTGGCTGGGAAGTGCAGTCAAAATGCTAATTCACATCTCAAGTAGTTACTCTACCTAGAGTAACAGCCTACTACATATGAGATGCAGACAAATGCTTTTGCGATGGGTAGAGCCGTAGAGGTTATTCAGGGACGCACTCACATTTTATGGTCCCTAAGCTCTCTTTTATTTTTAGTTATTGTTAGATAGATATAATATAAAAAATTATTAATAGGCTTTTACTTCTTAGCTTAAACTTTTAGGTGAAATGTTTGCTTTACATAATCGGTGATTACGAAATCACGAGTTCGATTTTCATCACCCATTATTTTATAGTGGAATTAAGTCAGCACATGGTAGAAAAAATGTGCATATGCAATATTCACGTTTCAAACCCAAATGATTATTGCGTGAGGGATGTGTTAAAGAGATATAATATAAAAAATCATTGATGAACCTTCACTTCTCATTTTAAACTTTTGGGTTGAAATGACCATCTAGGTCATGAGAGGAAGACTTCAGGAGAAACATTGAAATCTACATAAAGAGAAATAAAAAAACATAGCAATGATGAGAAGTACATTTTGATCTCTCCTTTTTTTGCCGTTGATCTTGAACTGACGAGAGTTTATAAATGTGTCCCATGAAGGGTGAAGTCTATCAATTTTGGGGTACTATGTGTGGCAATGGTAGAGACAAAGGCTCAATGAGTTTCCCATGGTGCTGCGTAGGTATACTGCAATAGGGGATTGTGTGAGAGTGGCTAAAGTGACTTCACATTTTAGCAGAGTAACAGCTCTTCCGTTGTGTGGAGAAGAAGAAGATCGCCTTCTTACCTGGGTCAAGGGGGTATTAAGAGAGATGAAGTTCCTTTCAAACATAGGAGAGAGACCCCTCATAGCTATAACACCTAGCCAAGCCTAAACACTAAGTCTAGACATGTTGAACCCATTGTCAATGTACATGGACAACAGTATTGGAAGAAGAAGGGGATTTCATGTGTTGAGCCTCCATGACTCCTCAAAGAATGCCATCTAGAAAGTGTCTATATATAAGCTAGTAATATTAGGCCCATCTTACTGGGCTTGAAGGGACCGGTCAGAACAAATCTAATTATTGTTAATAGATATGCTAGCATGATTAGATCGCTCCAATTTTTACTTTATAATTGGTATTATAGTCATTGTGGCTTTGCCTTGCGTATTTATTTATTTATTTTGGGCTATATTGTGTAAAAGGTTTTTGATTTCAGAGATGTGATTTACAACTTTTGAAGAAAAATAAAATTAGAAATAAGAAAGAAATAAGATTTCTAACATGTCTATGACTTAAATAATCAATATTGGTGCAAAATTGGCTGACAAACTGTTGGGTTCCAATTTAGTTGCAACTGGGTTGGGTTGACCTGTGAAGAGGTTGAAGATGATACAAGACATATGTCGTTTTGAGCTTATCGTGAATAACGACGGGTTACTTAAAAGAGTTAAACTACCGATCGCAAGATTTGAGCCTACAGCCTCACAATAAGAGCCCAATGGTTGCAACCGTGTCAAGTGTCCATCAAGAGGTTGAAAATGATACATGTCGTTTTGGGCTTCTTGTGGAAACGTATAAGCTAGGAAATTGATTAAAGTTCAGCAATATGTAATTAATTAAAGTGTAGTCGCAACATCTTTATTTAGTTAAAAGTCATGTATGAAGTTTTAGGACCACATAAGGATATTAATTGCAATTAATCATATATAATAAAATAAATCTTATCCAACAAGAATTTTATTATATTTTGTATGATTAACTAGGATAGAATATTATATTATATTATATTATATTATGGGTTTCATTTTAAATGACATAAGTTATGTCATTTTAGGAGAGAGATAGACACAAAAAAACGGAAATCATGGGAGAGAGAAAGTGAGTGGTTTTTTTTAATTAAAATTCAAATTTTTTGTGTCTGTATCTCTCTTAAAATGACATAACTTTCTGTCATTTAAAATGACAAACACTTTTCCCTTATATTATATTATATTATATTCTAATCTGTAAAAAAATATAGTTTGATAATTCTATTATAAAGTTTTGCATAGATTTGTACATAATTGATTAATTTTATGTATTTTTTATTTACGGTTATATATGATGCATAATTTTTGTTTAATTTTTTATGCACAAAATTCAATTTCTAGTGATTTATTAAAGTAATTATTTATTTATTAATCATGGCATCTTTATAATTTAAGTTAAATACTCTAAAGATGGCTTTTTGACCCTTTTGCCCCTAATTAAATAATTAATAACCAATTTGCCCCTCCCCCAGAACTATCCACCATCCTGCCCCCATTTAGTCGATTAACTTTTAATCGACTAAATGGGCTAAACTCAGAAATTATGAAACGCGAATTTTAGTCGACTACAAACTCACCTTAATCGACTAAATTGTTTGCACTTTTAGTCGACTAAGAACATTATTTAGTCGACTAAATGTCGCAGATCAGGTTTTTTTAAAAAAAAAACCCATTTCGCAAAGGGGGTTATTTTCAAACCCTAATCGACTAAATCGCTCCATTCCGTCCCCTCTCTCCAAAAAATGGGCTTGGAGGAAGAGTCATCACTTTTCGACACTTCATCACAAATCTATGGTCATCACTTTTTGCCACCACAGCAGTACGATGAGACTTCATACAATATAATTTGACTGCATGTTGTATTTCAGATTTAGTTCGAAACTCCTGGTACAAATATAATGGATCTCCTAAATGCCAGCCACCGTGGATGTCATCGTCGCCATACAATATCTTCGTCTCATCATTAGGGTGAGCCCAATTAATGAACGAATAGTGTGTGGGCTGTCGTTCCAAAATGGCTCAATCTCAGACCCTACGTCCAAATTTAAACTTATCCGTCAGTACGAAAGAAAACACAAATATATATATATATGCAAAATTAAAACTTTAATTTACAATCTTACCACTGCTAACAGGGTCAACACGGAGCGGTGGCATAACCTGGGAACTCAAGTTTCCTAAACTAGTATCAGCGTCAAAATTCCCCTCTACGTCCGTATCTGAGGTGTCACCCAGCGGAATAACACTCTCGGGTTCACCATCGTCTTCACTATCCATATCCTTGTCATGCTCATCCTCATCCTCGTCTATTTCCCTCAGTGTTATCTGACTTAAGACAGGTGCAGGTGCAGATAAACCGACCACTCTGTCTTCTTGACTTTGACTTCTTCCATGCACAGGTGCAGATGAAGATTGACCACAGTCTATTTCAACATATATCTCAATAAAGTTTTGAAATTTTCGGTCCACAATTGCATCTATGACACAGTCCACATCTTCATCGTCACATATATAATTACCAATGTAGAATATAGCATCCTTACCAACTGTAGACTCTACCCTGGCGATCATCCGTTGAACGCCATGGCTACCGTGTAGCCCCAATTTTTGGTTAATCCTCCCTTTCAGCTCATTGTACGTAGTGCCCCGTTTGATTTTCAACATTTTCGTTTTTTCTTTAAATTGAACACCGTTGGGGTCTTCATAATGCTTTCCATCATAGTAAATCATGGTAACATACATGTTTGGACTTGAGCTCATCTTTCACACGAATTTTGGGGGTAGGAATCAGATTTTAGGGGTTAGGGTTCGGATTTGGGGGAAACAATTGAGAAATAAAGGAAAATGACAATGATTTCACAATTACTATGCCTTAGAGGTGGTGGGATGAAATGGAAGGGTGATTGGAAGGTTCACAGCTGACAAACCAGAGAAAGAGACCAAGAGAGGAGTTTTGATTTCGAATATAATGAAAATGAGGCCAAGAGAGGTCTGGATATAGGGTTTTTCGCGATCTTTAGTCGACTATGATGGGAAGAATGTTTGTCTTGTCTTAAAAGCTTGGTTAAAGTGTGATAAAAATATCGAAGTTAAAAAGTGAAAAAGTAATAAAAACTAAACCTTTAAACCTTTTAATTTCGAACCACTTTTTATCTTTCTTTTCTTTCTTCAAGACACATAAAATATCTCTTCTTCTTCTTCTCCATGACCGTAGCTTCCATGGTGTAAGAGAGTTTGAGAGAACTTGATTTCTAGCCATAATTTCAAGAAAGTTTCAACATGAAATAGATTTCTTGTGACACCTTCTAGCCTTGTATTGAGTGAGATATTCTATCCCAAAGGTTGGATATGGTTGTTGTCCTTTGGTAGTTTGGATGAGTTTTTACTTGGTTTTTATGTTGGAAAAGCTTAAGGTTACCTAAAGGAAGCTATACAAGGTAATTGATCAAACTTTGTTGATTGGATGATGATTTGTGAACATTTGTGTTCAACATGAATTTCTATGTACGTTAATGATGAATTTTGAAGTGATTTTGTTGTGGAAATTGATTGATTAATCATGTAAATCAAAGATAACATCTTGAATTTTTGAAAAATTGCAAGAAAGTAACCTCACCCTAACTTTCAAATTCGGCCATGAATAGTAAATTAGGGTTTGATATGGTTTGATGATGTTTACATGTTGGTTGATGTGGTGTGATTTTTAATAAATGATTGAATGCTTAATTAATGATTTGTATGTTAAGAAAAATGCATGCAAAGTATAACACCTCGTATATTTGAAATATATATTTGAAATATATACTTATAATTAAAATGAGGTTAAGGGG